TATATAAATATATAAATGTTTCCTTTTTTAAAAATTTAAAAACATTTCAGCTGACCAACATTCTTTGCATCCCTAGTTAGAGCAGTTGATGCTTGGATATACTCTGGAAATATGACTGCCTCTCCTCACTCAAACAGTTTCCAAAACCACAATTATAATCTTGCATCCATCTATAATTTCAAGTGGCCGTCTATGCCACAGTTTGCAGTGATCCGGTGAAGATCTGTGCCTTCTAACCTCAAAAGTAAATTCTGTGCTTTCCTAGTTAACAGACCAAAGAGCAATTCATTATCGTGAACAATGATCCTTCATCCTTCCTGAGTATTGAAGCTATGATCTGAAAATGCTTACAAAGTAGGGATGTGCATCTCCATGACTGAGGCCGATATGATACGCATCTCGATGCATAGCCAACGATACGATACACTAAAGATACATATGAAGCAGCTACCGATGCAATGCGATACGATTAACCCCTATTACGATGCAGTGCGATCCGAATTCGATTCGATTCAACACAGTGCCCCTCCTAATTACAGTAACATTGCTGTGGGGAACAAGGCGGAGACAAAGCCTGTAGAAAACACCAGGGAAAAAAACCCTTTACTTCACTTACAGCAATTCTGTTTGATGGCTCAACTAATTAATTTTTGGTTGTAGGTAGTGATGCACAGAGTATTTTGGTGAAAGCTGATACTGAAAACCAAAAATCCTAATTTTAAATTAGCATATGTTTGAAATGACTATGACTTTTTATTCATATTTTACTATTTTTGTGCTTTTATATATACGTTCCCATTCAAAAGTATTTTTTTTATTTTTTTGGTTTTTGAAAGAGGTCTCTTATGCTTACCAAGGCTGCATTTATTTGATAAAAAATACCGTAAATACAATAATATTCCAAAATATTAAAATAATTTTGTTCCATTTAAATAAATATATTTTTATGTAATTTATTCCTGTGATGGCAAAGCTGAAATTTCAGCATCAGTTACATTTAATCTTATTATTATTAGTGTTGAAGACACTATTTTTGTTTAAACCATGATACATTTTTATAGGATTCTTTGATAAATAGAAAGTTCAAAAGAACAGCATTTATTTACGATACACTAAAGATACATATGAAGCAGCTACCGATGCAATGCGATACGATTAACCCCTATTACGATGCAGTGCGATCCGAATTCGATTCGATTCAACACAGTGCGATTCGATGCAATATGATGCATTGGAAAAAAATATGATCACTTCTAATGCCTCAAGGCCTGTTTCATAAAACAAGTTTACCAAATAAGCCAGGCTTATTTCAGTTAGTCTGACTTATTGTCAAATGATTTGGTTCCATAAAGCAAATTTAACATAGGCCTAGATCAAGCTTGGCACTATGGCAACTTATGCTGGGAAACTAACCTGGTCTAAAGCAGGCTAACTGTCAGGCTAAGCTAAGTTCCTCTAACACTGACCAATAGGAAAGGAATGATATTACCACTGACTCTCTCACATACTATTATTTGACTTTTTTTTTACAGTTACTAGCTATGCAGCCTTTCTCTCTGGTTTTATGACAGCTGTACCTTTTATACTTGTTATAGTGTAAAACATTACATTCTATGTACACATACATAGTATAAAACAAACATTACATTTTATAAATGTAATGTTACTTACATTTCACTGCTGGACTTACATTTCACTGCTGGTCATATATTCCCTATATAACCATGTATGTGACAAATAAAAAATCTTGAATCTTGAATAGTTTGCAGAACAGATAGCAGAACATTACAATCTAAAATTGCTCTTTAAAGCATTAAAATAACTAGATTAAAAGTTAAAATCACTGAATTAAAAACGAAAATAATTAATAAAGAAAATGACTATATTTTAACTGGTATAAGACACACATTAACTCATTTGAGCTTAGTAATTAGGACTGTACTAGCTTACATTTGATTTACCCATTACAATAGTCCCTTTACAGTTACCTACTGCTATCATAAAAATACACTTATATGTAGGTTTAAAACTCTACAAAAGACACATTTAATGTCCAGCAACAAATATTTTAGCAAAATGTATATTTTACTCAGAATTACTGTGTTAATATTGCGCTCGTTCACTCGCGTAAGCCTCGCCCACTCCTGACAGCAAAATGGATATATTTACGTGACTTTCTGACATTTACAGATGAAGAATATACCTGTGACATGTCAGTTATGCACTGAGGAAAACACAACATCTCAAATGCATTAAACAGCACAAATATATTCGCTGTTAGCAATGGTGGATCGATTTGATCCATGATCGACAAAGAGTTGCTTAAAAATAAACGTGCACAAATTAGTGATATTGTGTGAATTTAATTTGTCATTTATGAAACCGACCCGATTGATTTGTTAGGTTATTTCAGGTCAGGTTTTGGACTTTAATCCCTGCTTTTCCTCAAGTCTCCGTGGTGTTGTGATGCGTCATATTCACGCAGCAGCGGTGATGAGAGAACGTGCTTGAGAAACAGTTTAGAGAGGAGAAATCAATCTACATATAAAATATTGGTCACTTTCTAAACAATAAAAATATAGCGCATCCACTAGTAATTATATATAAATAAATTTGCTTTTACCGATGCAAATGCATCAGAAATGATGCATCGCGATACAAATGCCAACTTTTATCCGATGTACACTTTTTAAACCGATGCATCGCATCGTTAACTTTTTATGCCGTGCGATACAAATGCCAACTTTTATCCGATGTACACTTTTTAAACCGTTGCATCGCATCGTTAACTTTTTATGCCGATGCACCGAGCGAATCGGTGAATCTTCCCATCCCTATTACAAAGTAATAAATGTGTTACGTTGCAACAGCTCCTGTGGCCAAATGTTTCCTTGTACATATACATCTTAAATTAATATCCTATCTGTTTCTCTCATCTACGCCACCCAACCCTTTTGAATCTCAGTGAATCTTGTACTATATGTGTTTTTCAGTGTGTGCACACTCAGGTTTGGCAGTGGCTGATATGGACATGCCCAGATCTGTATGTTCAAAACAAGCAGCATGCACAGTCTTCAGCTGCAGCTGACAGATCCGTATCTCCATAGATAAGAGACACCTGAGTCCACTTCTGAATTGTGATTCAGTTCAAGTCACAAATTAACCGTCCGTTTTTGGATAGAACTATAAGGGACTGAAAAAAGTCCTAAAAAGTTTTCCTTTTTAGTTTTCCTTTTCCGACTTGCACTCAGACAAAAAAAGGGAACAGTACATGCATGAAGTTTTCACTCGTCATGTGCAATCTTTAGTCCTCCTTTCTCAGAATGGCCTGAGAGAACACAAAATGTTTATTTAACAAGTGAGACTAAGCTTAAAGTACACTGCACGCACTATTCCAGGCAAGGCTATTGTGAACAATTATGAGCTGTTTATATTTTCATTTGGTAGATCCACAAGACCTCTGTAATATATTTCCATTACACAGAGGCATTCATAAGCTCCTCACCGTTTGTCTAACTGTGTGTTTCTGTTCCCAAATAGTGATCTGACTATATGTAACATTTTAAGGCGTCATGTTCCTGATGTGTTGAGCATGAATCATTTGCATAGAATGCAATTGAGACAAGCTCAGTGAAAAGTCTATCCAAGACGGTGGACACACAGCACTGTAAATATAATAAAGATTTAACGCTGAAAAGTGTCGATAGAAATAGATTGGTCTAATTAAAAATAGAAAACCCCAAAATCAGATGAAAAAAGTATGCATTTTTAATGCTTAATAGAGTATTGTTATTTGCTTAGCAATCACTAATTAAATGCTAATCAATTGAAAGGATTCTCCTGTGTGCTTTGCAAGAGGAATGCTATTTGTATGGTTTATAGAGTTGACCATACAATGGATAAATGACTGATCATCCAAATAGCCAGTCAAATCACTGCACTGAGAAGCCTTGTTGTTATTCACCATTTTAGCTATCAAACTTACTTTGTATGTCTGTGACATACAAACCTCCTTTTCTGGAATATTCTGAAGATTATGGTAAACTGGTGTTGTGGTACATGTAATTCGAATTATACTAGGTGTTGAGTTGTTCGGTCTGTTTCCCAGAAGCCAGCCAGTAATTTCAAAAAATGTAAGTACTGGATCAGGTTGTAGAACTTATTTTGCAAATTTTGAATGATCGTCTCTACATTTGTACAAAGAAACTATATTTTACCCGTTAGTGTTAGTTACATATTTAACCTTTGTGTTAATGTCAAAGTTTATGACATGTTGAGTGTCCGACTACTACAGTTACATTGAGTGTTTCAACATAACATAACCTGGTACAAAGGTTTGTGCTTTGTTTTTTTGCACGATGATGAATTTGAAGTAATTTATTCCAAAATCATCACGCCTTTTTATTAGGTGGACACAGATACAGTCTTTGAAAATTGGTGAGTGTGGTTAAGTAATTGCTGTCGTCAGGTCAGTTCAGTCATTTATGAGGTTCTATTTGAGTTAGGAAATCTAGGTAGGCATTAGACAGCTTAACTAAGTCTGGTAACGGAGCATGTGTGTGTGTGTGTGTGTGTGTGTGTGTGTGTGTGTGTTTGTGTGTGTATTCCCATACTTAATGGCACGGTTATAAATCTTAGTTCTTGTTCTAACTGAGATCTACACCTATGCATGCTCTAGTCTTTTGTGTTTTTAATTGTACAATCTTCAGGGGAGGGAGAGTAGAGCTTAGTCAGTGTCAGCCATTCATAAACAGGAAGTCACCACCCTACAAGTATTACCCATCAAACCCTCCTCCCTGTGATTAGCTCCCATTCCAAATCTCAGTGCCCTAAGTTAGATTAGAAAATAGAAATAGAAAATTCTCCATGTGACTTGTGCGCTTTATTCATAGTCTTCTGAGGTCATGTGCAACTCACACTTGTTGATAAGTATATCCATTCTGAGTCAGATCTTTTAAGCATTTTAGCCCTCAGGCCTGAAAGGTGTGGTCCTCTTTTCTCATAAACCCATTGAAAGGGCCCCTTAGTGGGGCCAGTTTTGAGGTTCCCACCTGGACTGTGTGAAAAGGGAGGCCAGTGCAGTGAGATCATGGAAATGTCTTGTGTATCTTTAACAGCACAGTGTTCAGAAACTGAGTGATATCTGATGTTTTAGCACCTACTTGATAGCACACTGTTATTCCCAATATGCACGCTCACCCGGTGGCGTATTTGTAGAAGTGTCTGTTTCTACTCATTTGTGCTCTGTCCGCATCAAGTTTAGTGAACCTCTTCCACGATCTGTGCAGGCGGTTGGATGCTAACCACATCACGTCAGTGCCTGAGGACAGTTTTGAGGATCTGCAGCAGCTCAGGCACCTCTGGTTGGATGACAACAGCCTGACTGAGGTTCCCATTGGGCCCCTACGGCACCAGAGTAACCTGCAGGCTCTGACGTTGGCCCTCAACAGGATCACACACATCCCCGACAATGCCTTTGTCAACCTCTCCAGCCTGGTTGTATTGTGAGTACTTTGCAATTTTGGTCCCACACACTAGAGGAATTCACACGATCCTGCTTTTAACACTGATAAATGTACCTTCCCTTGTTGCCCTTTAACACACGTCAGATAAATCCATCAATGCGCTACACTAACTGTAGTCCTAGCCGGCTCGTAAAACACTCATACAAATACACTTGCACATGCAAGTAAACAGTGGCGTGGATGGGCGATTTTAGAGAGAGCAAACAGGGAAAAGCAAAATGGACCCTTGTGTCTTGCAAAGTCAAACAGAGGCTTTAGACTCTCTCTCTCGCTCTCTCTTTCTCCCTGTGCCTTACTTCTGGAAGCTTCTATGTGGGTCTGATTTACCAATTACATTCCAGATGCTGGAAAATATTTGTCTTAGGAGTGGAGGCCAGTTAATCCGTTAAGTAGACTGAACAAACACACAGACCTGTGCGGTGAAGTGCTCAGCAAAACGGCTGAGCAGTTATCCGTTCAGAGACTTCCAGGGACAGAATATGTTTGTGTTGGTGTTCTGCTGAGAAGTGCATCTTTTTAATGACTGGAAAATTCAAGCAAAATAGACATCATCCCTTGTCATCTGAACAGTTATAAATTGAAAAATTAATTCTGCATAGATGAGATGTATTATTTTACAGGGTTTCTGTTGGTCTTAGCCTTAATTCGCCCTTCCACAAATTATGGCCTAAAAAGGTCTTAAATCGGAGCAGAAAGCCATGGCATTAAATGTTTCATTCACTGCAAAAAATGAATGTCTTCCTGAGTATTTTTGTTTTGTTTTACAACACAAATATCTAAACATCCTTAAATCAATATACATTTACTTGAGATGCAAATTGAACATATGAAGTTGTTTTCTGAGATATTGTGAGTTTATACTTAAAGAACAAACATCTGTCAATGGGATATGAATTTAGATAAAGATATTTGTTCTTGTTTTAATCATTAACTCACTTCATTTTAATCAGTTTCTGATAAAACAAGACTTATTTTGTTATTTTGCTTCTCGAGTAAATTAATCTCAATTTAAGAATATTTTTTGGACATTTGCACATAAACACAAGACAACACTACTGAGGAAGACACTTTTTTGCAGTGTAATCAGAAGGTACAGTGAAGTATTTTACTGATTGGGAGCAGAGGTTTTCAAGGCATGCTTTTATTTTTATTTTTTTATGAATCTAAAAGTAATGACGATTTCTTCTATTCCCTTCAATTTATTATATGTGGTTGTGTTCCGTTCAATCTATTGCTTAAATCTTCTTTACTTGGTCATAAAAAGTCTTAATAAATCTTCAATAATAATCTTAATAAAAGTCTTAATAATAATATTCATAAAACCTGCAGGAACTAGTTTTACATCTCAGATTATATTCACTATATGCTTATTAGGGATGCACCGATACCACTTTTTCCAGAACAAGTCCGATACGATACTTTTATTTTTTGTACTTGTATTTTCATAGCATTGGTAATTTTTTAAAAATATTAGGTTCAGAAACCAAAAACTGGCTTCATTTAGCAAACAGATTTCCTTCAGATATTTTTACACTTAATTATACTTGTTAAAATGTATTGTACAAGCTTTTTTACAAGGATATTTGCTCTCGACAAGCTCTATTTCATCTGTGCCGCTGCACGCTCAATCCACTCAGTGTGCTTTGCTTATCAGCTCGCGCAAATCAGCTATACAGGCATGAATATTGAATGTTTAACATTATATTAATTACATGTACTTCGTAGACATATTTAATCTCTAACGACTTCATTCTGCTCTCTGTTTGTTCTGTTGTCGGTGATTCTTTATCTGGACGCTGCACTGTTCACATGCTGTGCAGTATCAGTTTTTGGTATCGGGGCATTTTAATGAGTACGAGTACAGGAGCGCAGTATCGGGCCTGATATCGGTATCGATGCATCCCTAATGCTTATAACACTAGTGATGTGTGTTATATTGGGACCTTATTTAGTATTGACAATATCAATTTTCTTAATGTAGTGTATCAGTTGATACTGGGTATTTAATAATGCATGCTCATTTCCCTTATTTTTATATTTAGTTCACCCTTGCCATCATCTAATGCACACCTAAAATTAATCTTTAAAATCACTTATAATTTAATTAATAAATGGCTGTGAAATGTAATCTTAAGCAAAACTCAAAATTAATATTTTTCATGCTCTTTTTCACATATTATATGATATATTATAACGTTATACCTGATATATATTTTATTTTTAATTAATTTAGACAAAAAAAGTATAGAATTTAAATTTTGTCCATTTATTTTCATAGCATCAAAATAATTATAAGCCTATTGGGTAGAACCCCAACTTGAAATGGTTGTGTGTAATGCATGTCTAAGTATCGCTTCTAAAATCTTGTTTGTCCATGTTGTGCAGGCATCTTCACAACAATCGGATCCAGGAGATTGGGAAAAACTGCTTTAATGGGCTGGACAACCTGGAGACACTGTGAGTTCCCCCTCAACTTCATATGTAGCCACACTTCCTGTCATTAAAGAGATTGCAACCGCATGTAACGCTACATTTACATTTGCTGCAGTGGGTCTGTCATCAATAGCATCACGCTACATAATTTTACAAGAGATTGTATGTGGGTACAAGAACAGTTATATAGCGTTTGGTAGGATATTTATCTGCTGCTCTAGCGCCCTCTTCTGCAAGACTCAAGAGTTGCAGAGAATGTTGGGAGCTTTCTGTAAGGATGCTTTAGCTGACATTTATTTGAATACCAGTATGCAGTGTAGTAGAGAATACACTAGACATGAAATACATGTAATCCTTGAACAGAGATCCCTAACCTTGAGCCTGAAATGTTATGGCTCATGATGATTCATTTCATTATGAATAAAAAGCATGTGTTACACAAGAAGTGTCAAAATAGACATGGACATGCAAAGTTTTTTGACTTTATGAGCATTTGTAAGCGGTCTCACACCTAACATAGCTGAGTCTCTCTTTGACACTCAGTATGTGCCAGTTGTTATTCTGAAAGTTATTGTAGAGAGTAAAATGCAGTAGTTGACTTATAAAAGTCAGTTTAAATAGTAAGATGCATTTTCTCTATGTATTTTGATGTGATTAGAGATTGTCCTAAAGTCCGGCAACTCTAACGAGTCATTACTGCTACGCTTGAATTGAGTTAATCAGGATTTACAGTGTACCGATAAAGGACAAAGGAGTCTTTTCAAGACCTTCGGCTTTTCCTTATTGCCTCCGTTCTCTCTCTCTCAACTTACCACAGTTCGTTTAGCAAGCATCCACCGCGTCAGGGAGGAAGAGGCGAGGGGAAGGGGAAAGCAGATAGCCATCGCTGACTCTACTTTATTTACTTATTCTGACCATAATTAGGACAGGATGAGGACACGCCAACGTCCTGTGCCCCTAGGGAGGAGAGTGGGACACAGGACAGGGGCATTAGGGGGTAGAGAGGAAGTATCATGCCAGGTTGTGTATCGTGTGGTAGCTGAGAAAAACAATAACACACTGAAGAAATTAGCAGACTGGCTGTCCCGACTGGCTTCTGTAAACAGCACAGTCGATTCCTCTCAACAGATTTTCTTTTCTCCTTCTCTCAGGTTGTTCCTTTTTTGTCTTTTAGCCAAAAATGATCTTCAGTTATGGTTCTGTTGTCTTTCTTTAAACATAGAGCGGCAAAAGAGATGGCTCTTATTATACTGCTTTATTAAATATACAGTATAAAAAACAATAATATATATGCTATAGTGGTAGTAGTTTCACTCAAGTGTTTAGTTCACACAAGGGATGTTTTATCCTAATGTGAATAACTTTCATCTGCCCTCTCTCCTTTTAGGGATCTAAACTTCAATAATCTGAAGACCTTCCCAGAGGCCATTCAGACGCTGCCCAAGCTGAAAGAACTGTGAGTATCTCCAAACACACACACACACACTCCAACACTCAGTTACAGTCATTCCAATAGTTCCTCTCAGACACTTGTTCTGGGGTTGGCTTTTGATGTGGATGGCTGGTGTTATTATATCATTGTTTGAAATTTTTTATTGCTGAACCTCTATTTCAGAGAGGAAAGGAGATAAAATTGGTGTGAAGTTTCAGGTGCTTTTTCCAGCATTTTAAAATCATTCTAAAAAGTGAGTCCTTTTAAAAGAATGGAAGACTAGAATAGTGTAATAATGCAGTTAAAATCAAGGGTCTCAAACAGGTGTCTTCAGCACTGTATTTTGAAATCCTGAGAGCTTTAAAAATAATCACTTGTGTCCAGCTGCCATCTAGCGTTGAGAATTAGAACTGCTTCATAATTTTGAGTTGTGATCAGTAATGTAGCTGTTAGAAATCCTGAGGGAGAATATCTCAGAGTGCTCATCTCACTGAGCTTCTTAAAGATTTCTAGCTTAATGATTTCATAATGATTTTAATTTCCCCTGTTTGCCAGTGGATTTCATAGCAACAACATTGCATCCATCCCTGAGGGAGCTTTCCATAGAAATTCCCTGCTACGCACAATGTAAGCAAACGCTGATCCCACTCTCATGGAACACACACACACAGTCTAGTTGAAATATTGTGATTTATTTATTCATTTTGTTGGCTATAAACATCCATTATATCTGTGTCTGCAGCCATCTTTTTGACAACCCACTCTCCTTCGTGGGAATCACTGCTTTCCAGAACCTGTCAGACTTGCAGTCTTTGTAAGCAGAACCATTATTCAGTCATTGTTCTGGAACCGAATTACACTCACGTTGAACATGTCAGTCACTCATACTGACACCTGTCAGTTAAATGCTCTTTTGCATATTACAGTGTTATATATATATATATATATATATGCTTTTATATGTTAATTTCTGTTTATTCAACCTTATAGCAATTAGTCACACCAAAATTACAATGTTGTTGTTCCAAACCAGTAGGATTTTTTTTCTTCCATGAAACGATAAAGGTTTGTTTTTTTGGTATATTGCACTTTTCCATATAATAAACTATATATCATACTTTAATAGTGTTTTTTCCCCCTTCATTTGGAGCTTGACAGCATTCCCATTTACTTTCATTGTATGGAAAAAGCAAGTCAAAGTTTCTGCTAAGCTTTTCTTTTTATGTTGAATTAATGAACACATTGTTTTCATTTTCTTTAATTTGTTATATATTTCAGAATGCTACGTGGTGCCAGTATGATGCAAGATTTCCCCAGCCTGACTGGAACAATGAATCTAGAAAGCCTGTGAGTTTATTTTACACAGCATAAACATACAAAAGAACAGTGTCAGTTACAATGAAATCAACAGCAAACCATTTATTTTAAGTTTCCTAATATTGAAATGTCACACAGCACACCCTGAAATGATAATAAATGACAAAAATTAAAGGCCAGTCATTTATTAAAGTTTGAAATAAAGTGTAAATGAAGCAGAAACACAAAATGCACATTTCACGTCTCTTGTGTTGCCCAGGACTTTAACAGGAACTAAAATCAGAAGCATCCCAGCAGACCTGTGTGAGGATCTGACGGTGCTACGCACACTGTGAGTCATACTTGACACATGAGCATGGTTTATAATTCAGTTCCACTCTTATACTGCTGACACAACTGCGTAATACATCAGAGACACACACAAGGATAATAGCACTAAATACCATGTTGTAACCACACATTAATGTGCCACCACACACTAGCATGCTTTTAAGCAGTGACATACTACTCATAATAGTTTGTAACACATGTCAGTCAAATGTCCATGAGTGCCCAATGATGTGCCAGTTACAGCCTCAAGCGCTCTGTAATTAATCAACAGTCACAGGTCCCTTAGAACACAAAGGTTAGCCATCACTCAGAACACTCACACACAGTCACAGAAAAGCCTTCAAGCCAGTGCTGTCATTCAAGAGACTAACATATGCTCGGCATGTCAGTCATAACCGTACACTCTCCTTTCCATCTCAGCTTCAAATACACACAGACACACTCCATCGCACACAAGCGCAGTGTGCGTCAGTCAAGCATCATCCACCTCACAGGCCTGTGCGCAGTGGCCTGTCAGAGGCTCAGCTGCAGGGGGACGTTTTAAAGTGATGTCTAATGACCTCCCGGAGGAGAGCGAGCCAGAGGCAGGCCTGCTCCCAGCCTGGCTGCTGTAACACATCACAGATCCTTTAGATCCTGTCTAAACTTCATCAAAACAGTTCCATTCCTCACAAGCTCAGTGTCTCAACATTTGTGTGTGTGTTCTGACAGAGATCTTTCCTATAATGAGATCGAAGACCTGCCGTCCTTTCAGGGCTGTGTTGGACTGCAGGACATGTAAGTTCTGTTATCATGCTACATTTTCCTACTGTTTAGACAACTTTGAGTTCTTGACGTTTGAATTCATTATGTGTATGAAGAGGCACTGAGGTTTTGTTTAATTATGTGTTCTGCAGAAGTCTACAGCATAACCAAATCCAGCAGATAGACCGAGGAACTTTCCAGGGCATGACCAGCCTTAGAGTGTTGTAAGTAAACACAATTGCCATAAATGAGCTGATGCTGAAATTAACCAATAAGAATAAGGTATCCCATAGAGTCTTACAATATATCAAAACTACTTTGTATGAATTACATACAAAGCCATTGTGAAATAGCTGATATACGTGTTGATCATCTGTACCTTAGTTCTATATTGAATTCTGTATTAAAGTGATTAACTGTAAAAGGTGTGATGAACTATATTACTTATATACTTGTTTATTTCAAATAATAATCATAATTATTATTATGAATAATAATAATAACAATTGTATCATAAATGTATTTAACTGAATATTTATAGTTTACACTACTGTTCAGGGTTTAGAGTCAGTAAAAATTGGTTTCTTTTAAGTAAGTCCATAAGGCTGCATTTATTCGATCAGAAATACAGTAAAACAATATTGTCAGTAATAATATAATTTAAAATACATGTTTTATATTTTAATATATTTTGAAATGTAATTTATTCCTGTGATGGTAATGCTAATGGTAATGGTAATTTTTAAGCAGTCATTACTCCATTCTTTAGTGTTGCATGATCCTTCTGAAATCCTTCTGATATGCTGATATGGTGCCCAAGAAACATTTCTACTTATTATCAAACATTTGTGTTGCTTAATATTTTTTTTCCACATAAAAATGTGTGTAAAAATGTGAACTGTAGTGTGTATTGCTTTTGTCACTGTTTTATAATAGAAATAAGTTACAAGAGAACATAGGTTCCTGTAATTTTTACTATGGCTAAGAGGGCTTCAAGGCAGTATGACTTTTAATTAATTACTAATTAATGGCTTATGACTTTTTTAATTAAATGAACAACAGCAGTTCGGTAATCACACTCTGATCTTCTCATAGTGAACTTGCACAAGGCTTGTCCTGAATTCTGAATCTTTACCCAGAGCCATCTGTATATGTTTAGCCTGTGTATCTGTTTGTTTTCTTACCGCTTTATAGAGACCTGAGCAGAAACCAGATCAAGTTCATCCACAGAGATGCTTTCCTTTCTCTCAGCGCTCTCACCAGCCTGTGAGTGTTCAGTCATAGAGTCTTCTCTCATAATTATTCACATTCATTGCATTTTAGTGGAAAAACTGCTGGGGAATTGAAAATATAATTGTCATGATTTAACTGATCATACATTGCTGTTTAATTACTTAAAGATATCAAAAGTACAGTGATGCAGTTTCTCCACCAGAGCGTCTCTGATTAAACAACAAAGGCATACGGGGCTTTTTGTGTGTGTGTGTGTGTGTGTGTGTGTGTATGAATGAATATAATTGTCTTTTTTTCCGTCATGCCATTAGGGATCTCAGTCTGAACTCCCTAGCTAGTGTTCCTACCACAGGACTGAGTGCACTGAACCAGCTTAAACTGACAGGAAACGTGGAGCTGAGGAACGGCCTGATGTCTAAGAGTCTGCCTAAACTCAGGTAAGAGCTCTTCACAGCCCCTACTTATGAGCCACGACTGATTACTGGTCATTAAGGTTGCTCCTGTGTCCCAGTTCAGTTTATATGAATAATGAATGGCGTTACGTCCCCACTTTCACCCGTACTCTGTAATCACACTTTGATCAAAACCCAGATAATTAAGTAACTCTTTAGGTCTTCCAAAGTAGTTTGTCTCTCTCGCTCACTCTGTCTCTCTCTTTGTCCCCATAGGTCCATAACGGTTCCCTATGCCTACCAGTGTTGTGCTTTTGTGTCTTGCGACAGTGCAGTTAACCCAGCACAGGATGACGAGCGGAGAAATGCATTTGGTATGACTTTTTGGTGTGCACTTTAATGCAGTTAAGCTCAGCAGCTTGCTGCTTTGGTGTTTGTAGCCGCATGTGATTGAATGAAGTGTATAATTGCCTTTTTTTCCGTCATGCCATTAGGGATCTCAGTCTGAACTCCCTAGCTAGTGTTCCTACCACAGGACTGAGTGCACTGAACCAGCTTAAACTGACAGGAAACGTGGAGCTGAGGAACGGCCTGATGTCTAAGAGTCTGCCTAAACTCAGGTAAGAGCTCTTCACAGCCCCTACTTATGAGCCACGACTGATTACTGGTCATTAAGGTTGCTCCTGTGTCCCAGTTCAGTTTATATGAATAATGAATGGCGTTACGTCCCCACTTTCACCCGTACTCTGTAATCACACTTTGATCAAAACCCAGATAATTAAGTAACTCTTTAGGTCTTCCAAAGTAGTTTGTCTCTCTCGCTCACTCTGTCTCTCTCTTTGTCCCCATAGGTCCATAACGGTTCCCTATGCCTACCAGTGTTGTGCTTTTGTGTCTTGCGACAGTGCAGTTAACCCAGCACAGGATGACGAGCGGAGAAATGCATTTGGTATGACTTTTTGGTGTGCACTTTAATGCAGTTAAGCTCAGCAGCTTGCTGCTTTGGTGTTTGTAGCCGCATGTGATTGAATGAAGTGGTCTGGCCATATTTATGTGTGGTACTATGATTCTCGTAATTGACATGCATATAAATATATGTTAGGTGGTGAGGAGGAGATGGAAAGGATTCCTCTGGTCATGCACTGCTCACCATCACCGGGTAAATACAAAAAGTCTCTTTTTCTCTTCTTTTGCTACAGCCAGTGAACTCTGGGTAATGTAATGTTATGAGATACAGATTAGTGCCACATAACCCATGTATACTGGGTAATAGAGATGCACATGCATGCATGATGCTTTGTTTTTTAATTGGTATCAAACAATATTGGATATACAGCGGCTGATACTGGAGATTTAAATTCTAATGTCCATTATTTTAACATTTAGATTACAGTTGCCATCATCTAACAATCACATAACAATCTTTAAAAACTCTAATAATTTAATGATGCTTGTAATCTCAAAATGAATATCCATTTTTTATACTGTACATTATAATGTTGTGATGCATAAATTCACTTGTAGCATTTTTTTTTTTTATTTAGACAAAATAGTATATCATTTTTATATCTAGCATTACATGAAATCAGGTTATTGGCCGTTAAATGAAAATAATTACCTGCTTATCATAGTTGTATCTAATAATAATATCTGTGCATCCCTACTGTGTACACTGCCGTTCAAAGGTTTGGGTACAGTAAGATAAATTAAACTGATGTAAAGTGACGGTAGAGACATTTATAACATTATGAAAAAAATAGATTTAAATAAATGTTCTTATGAACTTCCTATTCATCAAAGAAGTGGTACAACTGTTTTCAACATTTGAAGATATTAAGTTTTTTAAGCACCAAATCAGCATATTAGAACGATTTCTGAAGGATCATGTGACAGAAGACTGGAGTAATAATGCTGAAAATTCAGCTTTGCATCACACCGTATTTATTTATGAAATAACACAAACCACAAACATTATTTCAACATTGTGAAATATTGATTTAGCCTCTTTTGCACCTTTCATATTTCGGTTTGATGTGTCTTTCTGTATGTTTTTTGTCTTTCAGGGGCATTTAAACCCTGTGAACACTTGTTGGGAAGCTGGATGATCCGATTGACCGTGTGGTTCATCTGCCTGGTGGCGCTCCTCTTCAACTGCCTGGTTCTTGCAGCCACCTTCTCCCCACGCACCTCCCCTCACTCCCCGGCCCGCCTCCTGGTTGCACTCCTGGCCTCTGCTAACCTGCTGACAGGGGTCTATGTGGCAGCACTGACACTCCTGGATGCGGTCACCTGGGGCTCATTTGCCGAGTACGGTGTGTGGTGGGAAACAGGTGCTGGGTGTCAGGTTGTGGGTTTCCTCGCTGTGTTTTCATCCGAGTGGGCCGTCCTGCTGCTGGCTTTAGCTGCGGTGGAGCGTTGCTTGGCTGTGAGGGCTCTAATGGGGAAGGCAGGAGCTCTGAGGTCCAGTGGCCAAAGGAGGGAAAGACGAAGGAGATTTGGTATCACAGCACTCTTGTTGGGATTGGTATCTGTTGCAGCGGCCTGCCTCAGTCTGTATCATGGATCAGCCATGGGCTCTCCTCTCTGCTTGCCTTTCTCCGGAGGTCCCGGACCAGGCCTGGGGTTCACAGTGGCTCTGGTGCTAATGAACACACTAGCGTACCTGCTGAGCGCGGTGGTCTATACACGGTTATACTGCAGGTTGGGCCGTGCCCAGCTGGCTGACCCAGAGCATGCTGGGTCTGTGAGGCACATCGCCTGGCTGATCTTCACCAACTGCATCTTCTTTTGTCCGGTGGCGGCTTTCTCTTTCGCTCCCCTGCTGGCCGGGACCAGTAATGCAGTGGGCGGACCAGAGATGGCCAAATCAGTGACGCTCATATTCTTTCCGCTCTCTGCCTGCTTGAACCCCGTGCTCTACGTCTGCTTCAGTCCCTCCTTCAGATACGACTGGCTTCGCCTTAGAGGACGGGGGCGGGCCGCAAACAGACCGGAAGCACTTTCTCTCTTTTCACACTTGTGAGTATGTGTGTGTATGAGTGAATGTAGACCGAATCCATGAAAAGGGAATCTGACAATACAGAAAGACTCACTGAGCCAAATGTTGTCAACATACAACACGTCTTGTTTTCTGTTTCCTGTCCCCCTCAGCCAAATTCGGTTGCATTGGCACCCAGGGCTGATTGACAGTTGATGGACACAGTGATCTTACCTCCCAGTGCCTACCTTTAAGTTTGCAAGAAAGTAGAACTTGCCTGTTTATTTTCTCGGGGAATTTTTCGAAAAGAAAAATATATTTTCCCTTTTATTCTTACAAATGTTTGTCCTTTTGATTTAAAGCAAGGATATATGTGCCACTGTTTTTAGTGATGTTGATTCTTTTTCTCTTATGCCATCATAAATCCTGACTGTGGCGGGGGATCCCGTTCTATGTAGCAAAGTTTCTCCATATACTGGAGTTCCAGTATGCCGATGAGAATGTAATGTACAAGTTTATGTTCACGCTGTCTTGTGTTCCCATTTTCTCAGAGTAAGTTCACAGTGGCTGTTATTTTTGAAAAGCATTCATTCCTTTCTTGTTTATTCTGCTAGTGATCCTAAAATCACAATCCTTTCCACAATCCCCTCAGTTCAGCTGAGTGATCCAGTAATGCCAGTACATTACCAACTGTTTATTAAAAGAAATTGTCTTTAATTTATGTTCTAAAATGACATTTGGATGTCTTGACCAGAGCGCTTCCTTAATCACTAATAGGTTTCTAATAATTTATTGTAAGATATGGAAATGCTTTGATGAATGAATAGCAAACTATGCTTATTTTATTCCTGACAAGAATGTCACTAGATCATTTCAATATGTATTTTGTGCGCTGGGTAGAGTAAAAAAGGGTTTTCATATTAGAACTCCTTCCTGTCCAGATAATCTGACTATACAGCTTACTATATGAAACAAAAAAGGGATGCGCCAGTATTAATATTCTAGCCAATATAAGACAATGATTATTTTAAGTTATGGTTGATAAACTATAAATGGCCAATATTAATGTTTATACTATTATGACTAAATAAATTAAAACACCAAAAACGAAAATCAATTGTTTTAAACTCTTCAACTGAATTTAAGGATCAAACATTATAGGCCTAATACAACATTTTGAGATTTGCTAAAGATTACATACAACAATGTTACTAAATTATTAGTTTTTTTTTTTTTAAAGATAAACTGTAAGTGAACATTAGATGGTGGCAAAAGTAATCTAAATGTAAAAATAGATCGAGTAGCATGCACAAATATCCAATATTGTTCAATCCTAATTTAATCAATTTTAAAAATCTTGAATGTTGTGCATCCCTACACAAACGCTAATATTACATTCTTAGTACCAAGGTCTTTAATATTAAAACTTGTCCTTATGAAAACCCTTTTTTTCTCTCTACACTTTACATCCATACAGTAACATTCAAGTATATCTGTATGATATATCGATGTTCAAGTTGCCATTAAGCTATGTCATGTGGGATGGACAAGGGGACCAAAGTGTGTCTTTGTGTTCAGGAATATATAACAACGTTTCATCATCATGATTCAATTTGTACACCTTTGTTCATGTATGTTCAGGAATTCAAGTGAAAGGAAATGTGGATTTGTTTGCCTTAGATACCAAGTGTCAACACCATCCTTTGGTCTTCTAATATGTTTGCAGAGTGGATGCCATTTTGCCAGTCATATAAGCTCTGGCATCAACTGACAAGCCTTGCAGGTCATAGCTAGAACTGACAGAATTCCAAATCGTGTGTGTGTGTGTGTGTGTGTGTGTGTGTGTCATTTAGAGATAACAGTGTGTTGTAAATTATTTTTGTAGGACACGTCTAATCAAAAATGGGATGCATTGTCTAACTTTGGAAGCTACCTCTTCAACCGTAGCGGCTGCCAGTAGTGAGTAGAACATATGGTTACGTTTTCATGTTTATTTTGTTGGACTGATTGCTTGCGCTGTTAATACATCTAGTTGTACATTCTCACTGAACGAGTCACGCGTTAGTTTGTACTGGGAGAAAATGACATACTGTATACAGACATTTTTTGTAAACCAAACTATATAAACTGATTCGCTTTAAAATACGGGAGTGCTGGTCCTTTGTTATTAAGTTTCCCTCATGATAGTTTAGTCCTCTTCTGGTTGACGAGTTACATCTGCTTTTTATTTCAATGGAGCTAAAAGGTCCTGGCACGTTTAATTTAAATAGCGTTAGTGTCACTGATAGATTTAACGTTTTAACCTTGCAACATTATGACTGTCATCCTAAACAGGCTCACCTTCTTTATACTACTAACTGCAGCCCCTAAAACGTCACCTTCATGTCATAACAATGAACACGGGGGCGGATTTAGTGATTTGGGGGCCCCAGGCAAAATACAGGAATGGGGCCCTATACAATTTCACACATCTACAACCTTGAGGTTCCTTTCACTGTTGCTTGCTGCTGCACGACCGTGTCCCATAGTTGTGTCCAATCTTTTAGATTTTTCATGTACATGTTATAACAATAATAGGGCCCTATGAAATTTAAATTTTATTTACTTATTGTTTTAGAAATTCTGTGTTGCGCATTTTCATTTTTCTGGTAATCAAATGAAGGCAAAAACATGAATCTATCTTTTATTCCAATGAAAATTTAACAAACCCTTTCATTTTTGTACATTCTAAATGCTACACAAGTTTACCGTTTAACGAGCAATGTCACGGAATTCGTCAAATATTGAATGAATAAATCAAATGCAATTCAGTACACTTCAATCAAACCGCGATATGGACTAGTGTATGTGAATATTAAATGGCAAAAATACTATTTAGCTACTACAGACGACAACCGCGAGCGTTGCAGGTGCTTAAATAGCAAACTAGCAAACGAAACTGCGCCGTTCATTCCGTCACATTCCGCGTTACACAGTAAATTCCGTTTTTATGAATAGATTCCGACCCATTTTCTACATCGCCCTACTTTTGCTAAGGAGCACGTTCAACGCGGACGCACAGACGGTTGTCGTGGTAATGAACACCACAGCAACCACTTGTGCGTCCGCACTGAACGCGCATCTCGCATATAAAAAGCATTTTAGGGGGCCCTTGGCTTTTGGGGGCCCAAGGCGGTCGCCTACCTTTGCCTAATGGTTAAGTCCGCCTCTGATGAACATTAGCTCTTTCATCCAAAAAATAGCTATCTTTTCAATATTTAAACGTTTCATGTGGTTAATGCATTAATTATTATTTAACCTGTCGTACCATTTAAATACTTGACGACATTAGAGATTCGATTAATGGAGCATTAGTACGTTTTTATAAAGAGAGGAGAGTGTCTACAAAACAATCGTCTGCTAAACCCATGGGAGTTATCTGTTCCCTAAAACAAAAGGAAAAAGCATCACAGCCTGTGCTGTGGAAAACGGCTCCGCCAATCAAATACGCAGGACTGGGGAGTGTGGAACCAGCACACTTCCAGAAGGCATAGGGAGGAATTCTTGATAAAGGGTAGTCGATTCTTCTTTTTTTCCTCCTAATTCTCCTGTTATCAGTCTCCCGATGCTTAACTGGAGGGGCGGAATAAGAGAATTTAAAGCAGACCCCCTGGAGCTCATCGTCGAGTTGCGAAAACATCTCAGTGGGAATCTTTCCTAAGGTGGCCCTAATTGTACCAACCACTTAAGCGTGAACGGTTTCTGCAATCAACTTTATTACAGTCACGCTGGTTAACACTTGATAAACTGCCATCTTTTCTCCAAACTTGTGTAATATTAGTTGTACAGATCTGCGCACACTGAAGATTCTGAAGGCTGATCTTACCTGACTTACGGTCCAGTTTGGTGTTTGAGGAGATCTATGGCGTTCATTGCACACCTCACTGCGTGTGTTGAATGGATAGCTTTGATTAGGCAGGAGTGAGAAGCGGTAGCCTGCCAGGATTTGTTATTACCTTAATGTGCCTGGTGATAGACTAAAACCATCCAGGCTGAGAAAAAGACTCATTACCAAGACTAATATCACCGTCAGTACTAAATACGCGGCTCGTGACAGGCAATTCAACGTGTAATTAGTGATTCTGACAAGAGGGAGGCCTTATACGCTCCGGGTGGTTGTGGCTGGTTCGTGCCTCTAGATGGCAGTGCAGTTCAGCTGGTTTATTACAGTGACGCTTTCTCATCTCCGTGCAACTGCAGCTCAGAGTTGCCAAGTCCGCGTATTATACGCGACTTCGGGCTTCTTTTTTTTGTAAAGTTGCGTGAAAAAATCCCGGGTTGCGGTTTTTTGGGCTTATTTTAAAAAATATGGTTGCTTGTTAGGGTAATCTGACAACAAGCAACTTCGTTTTCATTTTCCATCTCTCCAATCCTATTCTGCTCACAGGTGATTGGAGATTAGTTTTGTTCCCAATTTGCTGCAGATTGCTGATTCTTGTCAAATAACTTCAGTTTTTGCTTTTCAGATAAAAGAGTGGTTTCAGTTTAAAATGTTGCAGGCTCATTTATTGGTAATAAATAATTGATAATAAATAATATTGATGATGATAATAAATCATCCAAAAAAAATATTGGGCTTGTTTTTGAAGCTGTGGTTGCTTGTGTATCTTGCTAGAGTTGGCAACAGTGCTGCAGCTTTACATTAAACGCAGGAGATTTCCCCCAGCTGCTTAGAGCCTCTGGTCTTTCGAAATGTCCTTCATATGCAAGTGCACACTGCATATGGACCTGCTTAGCCATCACATTAGCCTAGCAGAGAAACCACCTGCTAACATATCAACTTGAGGTGGGCTAATGTAAAGCGCCCGCTTATACTTATTAACATTAGACTGATAATTTCTCAGCCTAATATACATAGCAAATATAGCAAATGTTTTTGTCTCAAAAAGTCTTTACAGCTCATATGCCACCATATAGCTTCAAGAGTCATGTAAATGTGCTCTAGATTTATGAGCTGTTGTGTAGTTCTGTCGTCTCCAGTATTTATTTGACTATTTCCAATATCT